TATATATATATGATGTAATATGGTTAAGAAATTCAAAACTCCCGTCACTTTAAAAAGTTTAATTGGAACCAAGATATAAAAGTTTATCATTTGGTTCAAATATATATATATATATATAGGCACACATATTTATAAGTATAGAGAGGTAATACTTTGGTTTAGAAAAGAATGTTAGAAAAAACAAAAAAAAAATTAACGGGTCTCAAGCCGGCCCGAGATCCGACTGGCCCGGCCCGACCGGTCCGTAGCCCATTTGGCCCGAGGTACGAAAACCCGAAGTTTAATGAGCCTACATTTTTAAGGCCCATGTTCTTATAATTTTCGGGTGGGCTCGGGTCGGCTTTCGGGTTCCGGGCTTAATTGACATCCCTAAACTCAGCCATACAAAATTACCCTTGTGCCCTCAAGAGCTTCTGCTTCATCCGGAGTCTTTCAAACCTTCTGGCCTAAGTAGCGGGTTTCGCTGAAGACATTCTCCACAATATATATATACATATATATATAATTTTTTGAGATTGTGGATCGAGAGGAACACGTCAGCTCTTCGTGGAAGTTTGGTTGTCTGCCAGTGCCAGAGCTACAGGGAAAGAAGTATATGTTTAAAATATTATTGCTTTAATTCAATTTTCTGCACGTTTTTCTTCGATCCAGTTTTATAAATATTAATTTATTATTCTTATGCCATTAGCTATAATAAATATATCTTATTGGGATGATTTTTCCGAGCATTTTGTTACATGTATATATATATATATATATATATATATAATACGGGTGGGTAAAAACTATATCGAGGGGACAATACAATAGCAGTGGGATATGGAATTTTAATTAAATATGATAAAAAAAATAAAAAAAGTTTATTTTTAAATGTAAATAGACACGAGAATAGTTAGAATATATGTCTGATGCTTTTCGATGGCATAACGTAAAATTATAAGTACATTTAAAAGCATGTATCTTTCATATACAATACACACACATATATATATATAGATAGATATCAAACCTTGCTATTTCATCAAATACTCTTCTTTTTTTTTTTTGCAGATCTTATCAAATATTTTAGACAATTCATATGCTAATATTTTCATAGAAACTACTTTTTTGTTTTTGGTGTTCATTTACCACAATCAAATTGAATATATCCGGATATTTAGTTTAAAAATAAAAGTTTCCATCGATATTTTGTAAATGGTTTGGAAGATCTAAAAGAGACATAAAAAATAAAATTTAAAAATATTATACATTAAGGTTATCAAAATATTTACATAAGACGATAGAATTTATTAGAAAAATGAAATGGGGGGGAAAACGTTTTTAGTGGACAAAAAGATAAATATCCAATTGAAGTAAAGAAATCATTAGGGTGGTCTATTCCCACGTCATTTATGCACATTATTCGATAAAAATAGGAAACTAATAATTTTTATTTCATTGATTCTTAAAATCTTGTTGGGTTAAAATTTTTTTAAAAAAGAATTCTCAAATTTCCAATAGGGAAATCCCACTAACGGCAGTGTTTTCTCAAAAGTGTGGCCGTACGGGACTGTGGAGAACAACTCAACCGCAGTACCACTTAATATGTACAACTTTCCTTTGTATACGGTTGGTATACCATGCCATGGGTATACATACATTCCTTATATATACACACACACAAATCTCTATTACACTATATATATGTATTCATATATTATATGTGGGACACTATAATTAATATGATCAAAATCGAGATTCTAAGATCATACCGGATTCTAATGGTAAACATAGCCACGTCATCATTTAGAATATAGTGAAACGCGGTTGAGATAAAATGTTTATTAAAAAAAAAACTTAACCAATGAATGAATTTTTTTGATGATTATAGTTAATTTAGTTGCGATTAATTTGAATTTGTATGATTTTGGGGTTATAGCTCTACCAATTTGAAGTTACTAAGTTTGAGTTGGAATCGTTGTTGGATTTACGTGGTTTTCGTTGATAATAAGAAGATAAGTTAACTTTAAAGTTTAGATACACTAATCTATAATAAAAATAATCTTAATTAACTTATATTCTTTAAGAAGTATAACTTATATTTTTATCTTATGATTGAAATCGAGATTTAAAAAAACACAAAATTCTATATATTTCTGATGGTTATATTTTAAACTATTAAATTATATATTTTTCAAAATATATAATTAATTTTTAGATCAAATTTTATTTAAATGTAATTATATTAATATATTCTTCAATTTGATAATCCAACTAAATATGATAGATTGCTGTCAAAGTTTTCAAAACAAAAACCCTTTTCTTATTAATTCAATCAAATAATATTTTATATATATATGGAAATAAAATTTAAATCTCATAGTATATAAAACTATAAAAAAAAACTGAGATCCTATTATTTGGAATCTCTAAACTAGTGATGTCAAAATGAGCCAGGCTCGCGAGCTGGCTCGCGGTTGGCTCGTTTTTTATCGAGCTGGGCTGAAAAAATAAAAGATCAAATAAAAACGGGCCGAACGAGCCAGCTCGCGACGAGTCCGAGCCCATCGGGCTAGCTCGGTCGGTTCGCGAGCCGGCTCGCGAGCTGACATTAAAAAAATCTTAGGGTTTCATACTTTAATTTCTTCACTTCTTATGTTTATATAGCAAATTAAAATTCACGATATGTTGATGTTGGTGTATATTTTTTGTTATATTTTGATGTTGTTAGTGTATGACACTTTTTATATTGATGTTGATGTATATTTTTTTGTTATATTTTGATGTTGTTGGTGTATTACACTTTTTTATGTTGGTTTGGTTTTGTTAATTTTTCTTGATTTAGATATAGTTTTATGGATTGTTATGTTAAATATTTTACGTTATATTGTATGATTTCAAAATATTGTTATGTAGATTTTAAATGATTAATTTTCATGTAATTTTAAAAAAATTTAGAATAATTAGATAAAAACGGGTTAGCTCGCGAGTCGGTTCGGAACTCGGACAATTTGGTCTGGATCAGAGTTTTTCTAGCTCGTAAAAAAACGGACCGAACGAATTGAGCCAAAAATGAGCTGACTCGAGACGAGCCGGTCCGGACCGGTCCGAGCCAGCCCGTTTTACATCACTACTCTAAACGGACAGGACAGTTCTCATGCACCGAAAAAGGTGTTTGTGCCACGTCATCATCTGAGCTGGACCATATAGCATGAAAGGAACCTAACAAAATCGTTATTTAATGCCAACAATTAACACTAAATTCTACATTAATCCACATCGATCCCATATATACTACATTTGGCAAAAAAATAAATTAGCGGTTATTACGCTTCTGTTCTTGTTCAGTGGAGGTGCGTTAGACCGACATTACACGCACGCGCATAATTAATTTATATAATTATATAAGACACACACACTTTAATTACTATATTAGTTGCAATAAAACATTAAAAACATCTCTTTAATTTCCCGCTACCGTAGTAAAATTTTATTCGCGCCAAGTTGCATTAAAGGCGAGAGAAACTTTGAAATAAAAATAAATTAAAAATGATGCATGAAATGAAATAGTCACCCCACACTGACCAAATTAACAAATAATGAAATAATACATAAAATAAAAAGAAACCCACTGTAACTTAATTAAGAAAAAATGGGATTAAAAAGTTGTATCGTCTCATAGCTGCTGAAAACCATGTCTTCGTGTGAAAAAGGTTTCCACACGTCTCCCCCCCTCTCTCTCTATAACATATATATATATACACACACACACACATGTATACGTATATATATAAACTTCATCTTCTTCTCTTTGAAAGTCTCCCCGGCATTTTCTGGAAATGGTGAAGTTCTCGAAGGAGCTGGAGGCACAGTTGATACCGGAGTGGAAATACGCCTTCGTGAATTACTCGCAACTGAAGAAACAGATCAAGAAGATCAAACTCTCCCGCTCTCCTCAACCTTCCTCCCGCTGTGCCCTCCTCGGCCATGTCCGCAGACTCGGCCGAGGTTTCTCCGACGTGTTCTTCTCAACCAGAGAGAAGAACCCCGATATTATTCAGGTGACAAATCTCGATGTTGGAATACATACAAATATATTATAAATTTGTCGGAATGTATTCGAGTTTTTGGGTGTGTTGTTATTGAAACCGAAAACTCTTACTTCATCCATTTCCAAATATTTATTGTTTTAGATTATTTCATATTTTTTTAGAAAATAGATCAAAATTCACATGTACCATTTGATGGTAAAAACAATGCAATTTATTAATAATGTATTGGAATTTGGTAGGGATAAAATTAGAAACTATTATAAAAAAGTCATAAAACTACAAATATTTCGAAACATAAAAAATAATCTAAAACTACAAATATTTTGAAATGGAGGGAGAACTTTAGTTGTCTCGAAATCTCGAAATCGTTGGATCTGTTTCGAGTTCGACCCTTAAATTTGAAGAGGGAACTTATATTTCAAATCATTGATTTCCAATTTCGAGATTAATTTGGACTTTGGTCTAACATACCCGATTATAAAAAAAAACCTAAACCGGATAAAATAACGAACCAAATAAATGCAAACCAGACAATACCAATCCAAACACATTAATTTCACCTATATTTTAGCGACCAAATACTCTAATTAGTTCCACAAGATGAAAGTAATAATTTTTTACCCTTTGTTTATTTATCGAAGAAAGAACTTTAGTTTAGAAAACGAAATTGATTTTTTTTTTGTTTCTTTTTACATATAATTGAATTTATTTTGAAATAATTTATATATTCTCTTTGTCTATAGAGTTACGTACGTATCTTCCTTCGCCTTTTCCCCCGTCTTTTCACTTCTTTTCCTTACTCGACGACCTTTGACTATGAATTCCCGGAGAAATTTGTATTTTCTTTATTTTGAAAAAAAGAGAGCTTTTGTATCGTTTCCCCTTTTCCCGGTCGGCGTTGGCCGGCAACAGCTGAAGAAACACCATAGATAACCCCGTTTTTCAGCCCCCCCCCAAGGAGATGGCTAAGAAGAAGAAGTCATCTCCCTCAGTCGCTAGATCTGGTAAACCCACTGCGAGGCAGATCTCGCCCCCTTCTCCGGTTCCGACTAGATATGGGTTAGCTCAGCAATCCCTCACTGTTACTACTCCTATTCAAGCTACTGAACCGTCCTCTCCACCCCCCTCCGTTGTTCTTCCAAATTCCTTGGAACCCCTTGTCCCACCTCTCCCCTCTTTGTCACCTGACGACTTCCCCCCACTGGGGAAGTCACTCCCACAAACCTCTCCCATAGCCCTTCCGGCAGCTCTAATTCAGCCACCGGGTCCTTCTTCCTCCACGGAGGTGATTGCGCCCCCACAGTCAGCTACCAGCTTTACTCGCTACCCTTGGACCCAAAGACTCCGAGCCTCATCTAGGAATCTCTCCAGAGTAGCTACCCCGACGGTCTCTGCAGACGGTACCCCTAGAGTGCGGGTTCCCAGCTCGGTTCTAGTCGAAGCCTCCAAATCTTGGCAAGGATATCTGGTTGGGAACTTCTACGGAATTGCTCCTTCTGGTGCTAAGCTATTCCAGATTTTGAACCCGATTTGGGGGAAAAAATCGCGGATTCATGTAAGGCGTATTAACGATTCCTCATGTATGTTTTATATCCCTGATCTTTCAACCAGGGAATGGGTCTTGGAGGTTGGATTATGGCGAGCGGCAGAGGTCATGTTTACGGTGGTGGAGTGGTCCACGACGGCATATATGAGGAAACCGGTACTTACTACCGCACCCATATGGGTAACTCTTAAAAACATACCGGTGGAGCTATATTCACTACAAGGGATAAGTTATATAGCTTGTGGGGTTGGTGAACCTTTACACACTGAAAGAATGCGGCTTGATCCGATGGATGTTGGAGAGGCTCGGATCAAGGTGGAGGTCAATTTGGGTTCTCCATTACTGACCTCTGTAGACATTGAAGACGAGCAGGGAGGAGTTATACGTATTGAGGTGGTATATTCGTGGACTCCCCCGATATGCTCTAAGTGCCACAAAATTGGGCACAAGATACCGAATTGTCCTGTGAAACTACTGCCTATGGAGACAACTGGACAGAATCCACAGGAGGAGCATCCGGAGTTAGCGCATGCTAGGTTGGAGGTTCCATCGGAGTCGGTACAGGTTGTGCCAGGGGAGAGTGTTGCTGTTGTAGCTCAGTCCCCACCGCCACAAATGCCCACCCTGAATCCTACTGGCTCATCCACACCAAACCCTACACTTGTTATCCCTGCTATCACTTCAAACCAAACCACTAAAAAAGACCAACCTAATAAAACCATCACTATCAGCAGATGTGTTGGGCCATCAGCCAACAACACCAAATTCAGTTTCGATACAGAAGAGCAATTTATCAAGGAGGCACAAAGAGTCTTGAGATCACGTGACATTACTACCTCGAGAGATTCCTCTGACTTTGTTGTAGTTTGAGGATCTCGAAAGGCGAAAAACGTCCTCTAGTAGTACCTTTAACCCGAGTACTTTTGGCATTTTGTTTTACCACATCGTGGATATATGAGAGTCTTTTGTTGGAACATTCGAGGAATAAATAGCTCGGCAAAGCAGTGTCGTATTAAGGAATGGCTTCGTGCACACCAACCGCTCATCGGAGGCCTTGTGGAGACAAGGGTCCGAGAAGAATCTGAGGCTAAATTGATAGTTCAATCTCTCGCACCGGGTTGGCTGCATACAACCAACTACTCGGCTGCTCACTTGGGAAGGATTTGGGTTCTTTGGAATGCCTCTATCTCAGTCACGATTTATTCAGTTTCCGATCAAATGATCACATGTGGAGTGTACATCCCCGCTTCTTCCTCCTATGCCACGATCTCCTTCATTTATGCTCAGAATACATGTGGAGAACGAAGGAGTCTATGGGCTGAGATTGAAAAGCTATCTCACCACCAGCTTTTGTCCTCTCGACCGTGGTTACTTTTGGGGGACTTTAATCAGATTCTACACCCCTCGGAACACGCATCTCCTTCTATACCTTTCTCTCCGCACTCTGGCATGATGGAATTTCGAGACTGTATTGCCAACAGCTCTTTGTTTGACCTATCGGGTCGCGGGAACTTTTTCACCTGGACAAATTGCAATCAGTTAAATCCCATTGCTCGGAAACTCGATCGCGCCTTGGTAAACGACCAATGGATACTTCAGTTTCGTGACTCCTTTGCGTTGTTTGAATCACCTGCCCCCTCGGACCATTGCCCGTGTATTGTCAACATGGATCCAAACTCCGCCAGAAGACGCACGAGCTTCCGGTTTTTCCTGCATTTAATAAAGCATAATGACTTTCAACAATGTGTTTCTCAATGTTGGAATAGGGTGAACCTGGAAGGTTCTTCTATGTTCAAGGTTACAGCTTGTCTAAAATCATTGAAAGGGGAACTGCGAAGGCTTAATAGGACTGCTTACAGCGACTTGGAGAACCGGGCTAAGGAGGCGTTGGTTCACTTGCAAGAAGTGCAAAATAGGCATCTATCTAATCCCACTACAGAAACTGCAGTTGAAGAAGCAGATGCTCGCTCGAAATGGTTGTCTTTGTCGGTAGCCGAGGAAACCTTCTTGAAGCAGAAGTCCCGAATCAAATGGCTTAGAGAAGGAGACCAAAATACTAAATTATTCCACCGAGTGGTGGCTTCCAGACAGTCCTCTAACGCGATTCGTGTTCTTCTTGATGATGTAGGTAATCGCCAGTATGAGCCAAATATGATCAAAATCATGACGGTGGACTATTACCGTAGCATCTTGGGGGCTGAAAATCCTGATATAAACTGCTGGTCAGTCGAGGAGCTGAGGAATCTCCTTCCGAAGAGGTGTCCAGCAGATTTGATGGCTCAGCTGATGGAGATTCCGACGGATGAGGATATCCGGTCTTCAGTGTTTTCTCTACCAAAGGGGAAATCACCGGGGTCGGACGAGTATCCTGCAGAATTCTTCTTCATGTGTTGGGAGACAGTTGGAAGAGATGTGACTGCGGCTGTCAAAGAGTTTTTTCTCTTAGGGAAGATCCTAAAACAGTGGAATTCGACTCTTATATCTCTGATTCCGAAAGTGAGGAACGCTACACAACTGAAGGATTTCCGCCCAATCTCGTGCTGTAATACTATTTATAAAATAGTCTCGCGGATCCTTGCTCAGAGACTCAAGTTGGTGTTGCCACATATTGTATCACCTAATCAGTCAGCCTTTGTCCACGGCCGCACGCTCCTAGAAAATGTTCTTCTTGCATCGGAATTAACTTCGGGGTTTGATCGTGGAGGATTGCCTAAGAAATCACTACTCAAAGTGGACTTGCGGAAAGCATTTGATTCAGTCAATTGGCTCTTCATCATTCGAGTTCTTCGTGCACTCGATTTTCCGGAGAGGTTCATTGGTTGGATTGAGGCTTGTTTGACTACTACTTCTTACTCGTTGTCTATAAATGGCGAAACGGTAGGGTTCTTTGGTGGAAAAAGGGGGTTGCGCCAAGGGGATCCCCTTTCCCCATACATTTTCACCTTGGTAATGGAGGTACTCTCACAATTGCTCAGCACAGAAGTTAGCAGGGGGAATATTAAGCTACCAGCTCATTGTCGTTCCCCACCTATTTCCCATCTAATGTTCGCGGATGACGTATTGGTTTTCTCGGAGTTCTCGGAAACGTCTCTTATGGCAGTACTAAGAACTTTTGGGGAATATTATGGGATGTCGGGGCTGCAACTTAATCGTGCCAAGACAACCTTATTTGCTGATGGGAATCGGGACGAGATGGTTTCTTCGCTTGCAGGTCGATTGGGATTTACATTCTCCAAACTTCCGGTGCGTTATCTAGGATTACCACTATCTGGAAGCAGAATCAAAGAACGAGACTGTGCTCGACTCGTGGACTCCATCAGGAGTAGATTATGCTCTTGGACCTCACGTTTTTTATCCTTTGCAGGAAGACTTCAACTTCTGAAGTCTGTCATTTATAGCACGATTAATTTCTGGGCTTCGACATTTATTATTCCGGCGAGTTGCACTAAGGAGATCGAGAGGATGTGTTCTGCTTTTTTATGGACAGGGGCGCCAGAATCGGCAAAAGGAGCCAAGGTCTCATGGGACTCAATCTGTTGGCCAAAGAAGAATGGTGGTCTCAGACTCAAAAGAATCTCGGACTGGAATAGATGTCTTTGCCTTAAACTCATCTGGATTTTGTTCACAAAAGGAGGCTCCTTATGGGTGGCATGGGTGAAGAAGAACCTTTTGGCGGAGAAATCGTTTTGGGAGCTGAATCCGAGGAGCAAAGGCTCATGGTCTTGGAGGAAACTGTTGAAACTAAGGCCTCTAGCAAGGGAATTTTTACACTGTAAAGTAGGGAATGGCAAGCTGTGTTGTTTCTGGTTGGATAATTGGTTACCTCAAGGACCTCTCATCAGGGTCCTTGGTGAGGGAGGCCCACGATTGCTGGGGATTCCGAGGAACTCAAAAGTTGGTGATGTCTGTGGCAGTGATGGTTGGAAAATAGGACCTGCTCGGAATGATCAGATTCTTGCCTTGCAGTGTGAACTATTGAACGTTGGATTACCTTCCCAATCGATGAGTGAGGACTTGTTTTACTGGTCTCCATCCTTCTTGAACACCAATCTAAAGCCTTTCTCGACTAGAACAGCTTGGAAGCTAGGGTCTGCAGCTCGTGAGGTGGTTTCATGGCACAAGATGGTCTGGTTTGCTGAAGCTGTTCCGAAACACGCGTTCATCGTATGGCTAGCTGTTCGGAATCGACTTCCTACAAGGGATCGTCAGCTATTGTGGGGACTGAATGTATCTCCGAATTGTCTACTTTGCGACTCGGGGACAGAAACTATTGACCATTTATTCTTCTCTTGTGATTTTAGTCATTCTGTATGGTTCTCGTTATTGGACGGTACGTCAATTCCCTTCCAGCAGAACTCTACGTTTCAGGACTTCCTCACAAGGCTTGAACGGTGCTCTAGCGACAGGAGGTTACGGCTTATTGTTCTATTGTTGTACCAAGGCTGTTTGTACAGCCTGTGGCGCGAAAGGAATGATCGACTGCACAGGAACCAGTCACATACAGTGGCTGTTTTGGTGCGGGAGATTAGATTATCGACGAGGCGGAAACTCTCGGTGATACAAGCGGAGCAAAGTACTAATCAACATGAAGAAGGGCTGCTTACACTATGGTTTCGGTATTTTGACAGATTATGAAACTAGTTATGACTCTCTCGTTTTATACTCGAGTTGTTTCTCTTTTGAACTCTAGAATCTTTTCTGGATGTAATTCCTATTTTTAATATATATATATATATATATATATATATGTTCATATTCACATTAATTTCGAATTCTTTGTGTCAGTTTTCCGCATCTCATCGCTTTTTAAAAGTATTATTTCATTTTCAATAAAAAAAAAGTCGATAAAATCTATATAATAAGACAAAAGTTATTATGACAATTTGTATCTACTGAAAATCTATGGCATGGTGGAAGTATTGTTTACTACTAGTAAACATCTTACTTCCCTTCCCAGTTTTAAAAAAAAACCCTAGATTTGAACTGATTTTTATAATAAAAAAAATTCCGACAAAACCTAACGTTTAATCGGGAGTTCATTATTATATATAAAATTCCTCTATTCAGTACAAATTATTTCGTTTTTCATCATATTAATTTACCCGCATCAATCCCCAGAAAGGGTTATTTTGCTCACATTTCCACGAACATGTGCGCTCATATTTCCATTTACAATATGTAGGTGAACCAATTTGATGGTTATTGGATTTAAATTTTAATTCGATGTAAATGAAAAAACATTAACTCAATTTTATATCATTCTTGGCAATTCACAGGTGGAAAAAAAGAGTTCAGAAGAAGATGGAGATGGTGTTGACGAAATCTACCAAACTGAACTAGTTCAGTTATTTTCCGAAGAAGACGAGGTATACGCCTGCATATATACATGTACATATACACATGCCTACATATACGTACATGTATGTCTTGGTGATGAATTATATCATATTGTTAATTACTCAGTGGTATCTAGGCTCAACTTCTTGAATTTTGTATGGAAAAAGAAATATAAATTTGACTCGGCCGTTACTTTATTTTTTCTTATTGTTATTTTTAAATTTTTTTTAATATAGATAGTGCTTTTTATTGCTAATCTTATGACACGACCCACTATTTAAAATAAGCCATTTCTAATATCTATTTTCTATTATTGTTTAATGATAATATTGCATGCAATAAGCTATATTTTATAATGTAAAATCTTTTTGTAACGAGATTACTCATTTACGTTTCTAATTTTTTTTTAAATAAAAAAATCGTAGGTGAGATTATTTTTCGGGAGATTAGACGAAGAATTGAGTAAGGTAAACCAGTTTCACAAATCGAAAGAAATCGATTTTTTGGAGAAAGGAGAATCTTTGAAGGAGCAATTGGAGATTCTCACGGAAATCAAACAGATCACAAGTGATCGGAGGAGGAGAAACGGGTCGGAATCTTCTCCGCATCGCTCATTGTCTTCTTCGTCTTCTCCGAACTCTGATTTTTCAGGTCAGTCTTTTATTTATTTATTTTGTTTAAATACTTTGAACTCAATTTTTTTTTTATAATCTAGAAGTTCACCGGGCCTTTGGCCCGACTACATCTCCCAGAGGATCGGGAAAGCCCATGTGAATGCTCCTCCCCACGCTTGGGTTTGAACCCAGGATGAGAGCATGCTTTGCATGTTCTCTCACCACTAGATCACCCAAGCTTATGTCAGATTGAGTGTAGTATAGTAATTTAACTTGATTTGGATGCGCAAAAGACTAAATTTTTATATCTCAACAACATTAACATACCGACAAAAAAAAATGATAAATGGGATAATAAATATATAGTTTTAGATAAAACAGAATCCACGTTTCAACATAACAAATCCATACTAATGGTGAATCCAGAATATTGGGAGAGTATGATATATGTACGATACATGTACGATATACAATCCTTATGAATATGCTATTAGGGTTTCATTTTGAAAAATTTATAATTTGATGATTTATAAATTATAAATTATATTTCATTGTATGTGGACGCAAAATTCGAAGCTGCAGATTTTAGAAATGATTTTAATGCATCGACATCTATATTTGATGGAAATGAGGGGTTTTGACATTTTTGCTTTTATGGCAGACAAATAAATAAAAAAATGAAAAATAAATAATCATTTGATTCTAGAAAACAGATTTTGTTGTGTGGGTAAGTAAAAGAAAGTGGACCAAACATCATATCTTCCCACCAAGACATCATGCTCGAATTCGACATGTTTTCTTCTCTTGAAAGTTGAGATTTTGTTTCTTTCACTATGTATCTCTTTAATACAAATAATTATTGACTATATATATATATCTATATATATATCGAATAAAATATTTAAATAAGGATCCATATACCAACACAATTTTCGGACAAAGATAAGTTTCTAATCGATAGATCAATTATTAAATTCTAATGATATTATGAACATGATTTATTTAAGCTGATTTGTTTCATTTAGAACAATTAACTTATAAGGTCTCACGACCAAAATCTTTGACCCAACTTTTTTGGCAATTCGAATTTTGAACCAACCGATTCGATTAAATCCATATAACAAATAGTTCAACTTGTTATATCTAATCTAATCTACTAAGAAGGGTTTCTTAAATTTTATATATATAATTCAGGATCACCGGGAGAACTAAGCGAAGCGGAAAGTGAAATAACAAGAAGAGAAGAAATCGTGGAAGCAGTGGAGAGAAACGAAGCGAGTTTCGTAAATTCGGAGACAAGGAGCAAGATGAGGAAGAAGAAGTCGGGGAAGATCATTGCTGTCCGTTTAGCCGGAAATGGCCCTCCTCGGAATATCTCTGCCGTGAAATCTGTCCTATGGGAAGAACTCGTCAACAATCCCGGAGGAGGAGGAGGAGATCATGTCAGCCGGAAAAAGATTGAATGTGCCGAGAAGATTGTAAGAAAAGCCTTTGTTGAGCTCTATAGAGGCCTCACCTTGTTGAAGACTTACAGGTTTCCCTCTCTTTTTTTTTTTTTATATATCAAAATATATCAATATATATGTATATATATATATATATATATTATGTTTTTATGATGATTCTAACCTTGTTTTGTCCTATTATTTTTCATTTTTAATGTGATAATTTATGTGTTTTATGATGATTCTAATCCTTGTTTTTGGCTATTCTTGGCAGCTCGTTGAACATGGTTGCATTCACTAAGATTCTAAAAAAATTTGACAAGGTGATGAATGAAGGGGTGGTGGCCTTTTTTGCATGCATTATGATCATTGGTCGTTACTGATTTCAAATTTCGCAACATATTATAAAAATTTTTGTCCATATAATCAAATTATATACTGGATTTTCTTGGCCGAATTAATGATGGTATCCCATTGACGAGCAGGTTAGCAATCAAGATGCGTCATCAAGTTATCTCAACGTCGTCAAGAGATCGCATTTTATTTGTTCGGATAAGGTACGCACGTGCGTAGTAAAAGATTTAATTCAATAACCGATAATTAATTAATTAGCATATTTATTTGGGGGTTTGAAATTGTTCAAAAAGGTGGTAAGAGTAATGGACGAAGTGGAGTCCATATTCACAAAGCACTTCGCCAACAATGACAGGAAAAAGGCCATGAAGTTCTTACGACCACACCATCACAAAGATTCTCACTTCCTCACTTTCTTCCTTGGTATATATTTTCCTTTTTCTATCCTCCTTTTATTTTATTATATAGTTTTTATCACAACCATTTATTATTATTATTATTATATCAATTATTAATTTGAGGCTTCGAAATTTGGAATTACTTCCATGTATCAGTTTTTTTTTTTGTTCAACTCGGTTTCTTTAATGCTCCAATTCCTTATATTTATTATCGGAATTTTTTTTACAAAAAATGTTGGAAATTTGTTCCTTAAAAAGATAAAAGAAAATGAAAATGACTGAGAATTATCTTTCAGAAAATTGTCTAAATCAAAGGCAGAATTCATTTTTTTTTTTATTTTAAAAAATAGTTGTATTGAGAAAGAAATCAATCCAAAATTAAATGTATATATTTATATCATTATTTTATGCATTTGCAGGGTTGTTCACGGGCTGTTTCGTGTCATTATTTAGCGTATATGTAATATTGGCCCACATTTCTGGGATCTTCTCATCCGGCACCCAAACTTCTTATATGGAAACCGTTTACCCCGTTTTCAGGTACGTGTAATCTCTAAACGATCAATTAACACCAAATTAACAGAATTAAATCAAAATTTCCCCCCTGAAAATTGCATATTCTAATCGTTCGGACAATGTATTATGTATATATACAGTGTATTTGCGTTGCTGAGCCTTCACTTGTTCATGTACGGATGCAACCTGTTCATGTGGAAGAACACGCGGATAAACTACGTTTTCATATTCGAGTTCTCTCCGAAAACCGCCTCAGGTACGTGTAATCTCTAAACGATCAATTAACACCAAATTAACAGAATTAAATCAAAATTTCCCCCCTGAAAATTGCATATTCTAATCGTTCGGACAATGTATTATGTATATATACAGTGTATTTGCGTTGCTGAGCCTTCACTTGTTCATGTACGGATGCAACCTGTTCATGTGGAAGAACACGCGGATAAACTACGTTTTCATATTCGAGTTCTCTCCGAAACCCGCCTTGAGATCCCGAGACGCATTTCTCGTGTGTACGGCATTCATGACGGCCGTTGTGGCGGCCATGGTGGTTCACCTCATCCTCCGAGCCTCCGGCTTCTCCCCCGCGCAAGTTGACACCATCCCCGGCATCTTCCTCCTGGTCAGTCTTGTTTCTTGTATCTATAAGGGTAATATTTTGTGCCAAATAGATATTTATTTGGGGTATTTATTTGACAATTTAGAAATTGAGATATTTATTTGACCATACATATAAACAAATTTTGGAATTAGCATATGCTTAACCATCTGAATGGTTTATTTTATTTTTATTTGTTGTGGACAGATCTCCATCTCCATGTCGATATGCCCTTTTGACGTATTTTATCGGCCTACACGGTATCGCTTCATCGGGATTATGCGTAACATTATTTGCTCTCCCTTCTACAAGGTACCACAAAAACACATTCGTAGTCCAGTACTTAATTAGAGCTCAATATATAATTATATATCATATGATATATATTTTTTTATGAACAGGTTTTGATGGTAGATTTTTTCATGGCTGATCAACTTACTAGTCAGGTAAGGTAACTAATTAATTATTAGAGAAATTCCCAAAAAAAAAAATCATCCAATTTAGAGATAACTAACAAATTCATCACGAACTTTTAAAACGTTTATATTCATACTGAATTTGAAATTTTTTTCTAAAAAATCATTCAGAATTTGAATTTTAACAAATTCTTCATTATTATTAATTTATTATTATCATTCGCCGGTAAACAAGGCTGGATTATTGCAAAAGAAAAAAAAAACACAAGTAGTGATTCTTGTTCGTGTCTTGTTTTCAGATTCCGCTGTTAAGACACTTGGGATCGACCACGTGCTATTTCATGGCCAAAAGCTTTGGAACGCATGAACACAGTACCTGCAGAAGCGGGAGAATCTACAGAGAGTTTGCTTACGTCATCTCCTTCTCACCCTACTTCTGGCGTGCGATGCAAGTAAGATAAAGATTTTTTTTTTTTGTTAATGGTAAGATAAAGATTTCATAGATAACAACAATTAATGTGGGTCACAAAGTATCATTCCAGAAAGGTACAGGTAAATATTCTTATGTTTCAGGTATTTTAAAACAAAAAATACTAACAATTTATGTATATATACACGCAATGGTATACGCTTGTGAAAGTTAAAAGATTGAGATCTAATCGTGTTTATTTGCTCGAATGACGTCAAACAGTGCATAAGAAGATGGTGGGACGAGTCGAACGTGGACCACATGGTTAACATGGGGAAGTACGTCTCGGCCATGGTGGCCGCCGGGTTACGTATAACCTACGCAAGGGAAAGCAGCCCCTTGCGGTTCGCCTCCGTGCTGGTTAGCTCGGCCGTGGCCACCGTTTACCAGGTGTACTGGGATTTCGTCAAGGACTGGGGCCTTTTCCAGCCCGAATCCAAGAACCCTTGGCTCAGAGACGAGCTCATTCTCAAGAACAAGACCATTTACTACGTCTCCATCGTAAGTCATTATGATCTACTAGGGTTGAGAAACAAATCCGAAATTCTGATACCCGAAACTGAGATGAGATCGGATATTATTTTTAAGAAAACCCAAAATTTAGGTTGAGTCTCGGATATTAGTGCAAGGGATGCGTAATTATCCGTAGATACCCGAAAAGTAGTTAATTTACGGTTTTTTATAGCCTAGATTATAATTATATTACATGAAAACTTAGACCTAAGTTAATCACTTCACATTTTAGCTTGAATATTGATAGATTTGGAATGAATTTTAGGCATAAATATGTATTAGATTGATTTTGGATAAATTTATATAAATGTGTAGAAAATTGGTCAAAATGAGTTTGAATGTTCAGGTTCGGATATTCGGAGGTAATAAAATGGGTGTACCCAATTCCATGGATATAAATTTGGGTAACGAGATATATAAAAGAGATATTCGGGTTGTGGGGTTCACGTACGATGAACATCTCGGGTACCTAATTTAATTAGGCTAATTATGATTATCACAACAACTAAGTTTACTTGTTTCACAAGTAAACTATTCGATCTGAGACGAGGGCTCTTTGTTTCTTCAGGCACTGAATTTCTTGCTGAGACTCGCATGGATCGAGACCGTGATCAGATTCCGGGTCAGTCCAGTTCAGTCTCACATGCTCGATTTCTTCCTGGCATCGCTCGAAGTCATCAGACGCGGCCATTGGAACTTTTACAGGTACATAAACTTCAACTAATCTTGTTTAGATTTTGTTATGTATGGAATGTATTCAGAATAAGGTTAAATTGATAAAGCTAAACCCGATTCCGACAATTCAGGCTAGAGAACGAGCATTTGAACAACGTCGGGGAATTCAGGGCGGTGAAGACAGTGCCTTTACCATTTCGTGAGATGGACTCCGACGGGTGAAGGCCAGGGAAAGGTAGCTAGTGAAGAAGACGGTTCAATCTGTTGCGTTCAGACAGGGAAATATACTTACAGAAACAGCTCAAAGACAGTCCCTTGCGTCACATGATCTGTGATTATTATACATGAAAAGACATTGAGATTTTAGTATAGAATTTTATGATAATCTTGAAGTCTTGGACCTTCTCAAGGACTTGGCGATTCCAGTGGATATGTAATAAGCAGTGGACATGATTGTGATCATAGGGTTAACTCCGACAGCACTCGGCAAAGCACTTCCATCGCATACAAACAGTCCTTCGGCTTCCCAGCTCTCTCCTTTCAGATCAAGAGCACCTTCTTCTTCGTTTTCTCCGATTCTGCAACTTCCCATTTGATGAGCCGATCCATACAGTGTCCAATCCTTTGTTAAAGTGTTCGGCCCGTCTTCTGCAGTAACCGTGTCCAAGAACTCCTCTATCGCTTTCTCGTCTATCCCTTTACATTTAAGTCTTTGCCCGTCGCTTCTCTGAGTTCCCACTTCGACTGCTCCTGCAGATATCAATATCCTCAACGAATGTTTCATTCCCGCAACGATATTCTCTCTGTCTTTCTTGTCCATTGAATATGTTATTCTTCCCTCTTTCTCGATCTCTCCTGACCCGTGATCCCTCACTATCGTTATCAGATGCGCAGTTCTCGAATATTTTGCCATTCTTTTCTTCATGTCGAGTCCCGAGGTCCAAGGACATATCACGGAGAACAAGCCTGGTCCAAACGCTGGTGTTTCTATAATGGCTCTGACATCGGAGTCTTCTGACAAGACCTTGTTTAACGACGTAATTATCCCTCCCTCATAGTTGTTTCCCTTGAGATCAGAGGTTTCCTTCTCCGGGAAGTAACCCCATGCCATTTGGACAGGATGAAGATGAAGGTTTCGACCTATGTTCTTGTTCTTAAGACCACTCTTTCTCATCAATGGAGGCGTTGAAACAGCTCCACATGCTAAAACTGTTATTTTGGCTTCAATCATAAGCTTCTTTGATACCTTCCCATCCAAAGATTTCGCCATCACTCCCAAACATTTCAGTTTTTTCGCACCGATATCTATGTTTATGTTGTTTTCTAGTATCAATCTCTCGGCTTTACATCCGGTAAGGATTACAGCCCCATGATTCACCGCATCTACCAGCCATGTCCGGTCACTTCCTTTCTTGTCCCCTTGTCTGCAGCCATAGCCACATGATCCGCAATAATGATTCTCCGAGGAGTTTCGTGGCACGTTCTCCACGTTGAGCCCGAGATTCCGACACCCTTTTCTGAGAATCTGATTCTGAAAACTCTCCTCTACGCAATTCTCTGTGACACCGATCCTCTTGCACACTGTATCCATGGTTGAGACGTATTCCTGAGTCCCGAAAAAGGGTATCTTGTGATCTTCAGACCATTCTTGAAGAACGGATTTCGGAGTTTTGATGCTCGCTGACCAGTTCACAGCGGAGCCACCGCCTACAGTTGCTCCTGCTAAGATCGTGAAGTTTGCGTCAATGGAGGAGAGGATTCCTCCCGATTCATACATTCGATCTAACCCCTGTCCCTCGAACGGAGTGTATTCGGAAGGAGTAAAGTAACTTCCTTTCTCGAGGACCGTCACTTTCAGACCGGATTTTCCCCCCCCCCGCCACTCCTCCTCCTGAACCAGAACCGACAATCACAACGTCGGATTTGATCTTTATAGTATCGTGTCTCGAGTTAAATTTCGCTTCGAGGCCTTTCTTCGAAAGCGATTCAAGAAGGCTCGAGTCTGTCTCTTTCGCTGTCTCCACCATCCCATTCTCAAGAGGTCTCTCTTTCGGAGTATTATCAGAGGGGGTTTTCTCGTTCTCCTCGTTGCTCACGCGATACTGTATGGCTTCCCACGCAGGGTTATCACCATTTGGACCGACCTGCACAAATCAACAGAAAATCAACAGAAGATGTTCCTTTCTTCTGCAATGCTCGATTAGGGTTCGACAGAAGAGTTACTTCTTCATCACGTCAGTGTTTAAGACAGCAAAAAACAGTTGATGAGCAAGCACGATAGTTTACTTGCGACGCAAGTAATTGCGAGGGGGGAACAGAAGAGGTTTATACGTATACTTACCCAGGAGAAGAAAGAGAAGAGGAAAATGGATTTGATGTAGACAAAGGCGGTTCTGATTGGAGGGAAAAGCCAGTTTCGGAACCATTTCTGAAGAACCCTTTCCCTCTTATCTAAAGAGAGGTTTCGGAATTTTAGGACAAAAGGCCACGTGGGAACCAAGCATTGAGTTCCACATAGAAGTAAAGTTCCAAGCCTTGAGGACAGTAGAAGCAAAACCAGTCTCACCATAAGCACTGCTTCTATGAGCCCTCGCCTCGTAATTATCTCCACTGTCTGAAAATTTGTTTCACAGAAAACGTCAGATCTCGCATTTACGTATAGATACGACAAAAAAAAATTATTACAGGAAATTATCTAAATATACGAATAGGTTAAAACTCTTAACTATATATGGTTATTTACAAAGACTTTTCCACGTGATGAAAAGACTTTTCCACGTGATGAAAATATATATATGGGACTTCGAGATAATTCAGAAGTGTCGGCGAATATGTTAATTAAGGTTTATAAAACAAAACAAAGAAAAGTCCAAGCCTTTTTTTTTCCTTTGGATTTTTATGTAAAGTTCAGACCTTTTCTCTATAATACAAGTTTTGATTTGTAAACACAAAAGCTCCATATTCAGATATATAAAAAACGGTTATAATTATAATATTTTTTAAGAATAATATAAGTTTGGTTTTACCAAAAAAATAATATAAGTTTGGCATGAGTTTTTCTTTGTTTTATATATATAAAAAAAAAAGAAGCTTGAGAGAGGGAGAATGTGAACCTGGTGAAGAATATGAGACTGAGAGCCAGACATGGAGTAGAAAGACCGTAGAGAATCTTTATTGGGATGATCTTCTTCGCCGTCTGGGGAATATTCCGGTGACAGAGGAGGCAATATTGTCTCGCACACGGCGGCTAGTGATTCCATCTCCGCCGCCGTGAAGCCCCGGCGGCCGAAATT